TAATGTACCTGGTAAAGTTTAAATAAATGACATAAATGCTCTAATATTACATGTAAGTTAGTGGTTTATTTATTGTTAGTTACTGTAATGTTGCGCTGCTTTATTTGGTTAATCGTCCAGTCTGTGAAGAAGGCATTCAAGTAAGAATTGCATTGTAATATGACTCATTTCCTGGCGCGTACAATTTATATTAGGTCAGCGTTCACAGTTCGAGTTCTGATATTCAGATCGAGTTCTAGGTCAAACTGGTTTGTTTGACTTTCAAGAAATTCGAGTTCTAGTGAGTTTGAGGACCGAGGTACCACTGTACTAGTCTCCTTTCATAATAATGTCAATGCTACTGCTTACTGGGCAGGGACACATGCCAGAGCGACTTGAGAAACATCGGAAGGCAGCTGGTTTGTGGCATCTGGGTGACCTGCTGAGGGATATGAGGTCAGAGGTCAGGAGAAGCTGCCGGACGGCTCAACCCCACAGCCCACAGTGAGTGTGAAACCATCTGAACCAGCTTCCCAGAAAGCAGCTCAGCACAAGGCTCCATTTATCTAGAACAAGTTGCATTTGTACTGTAACTGATATCGCAGATCTGAGGGGACGATGGTCATGAGTCACCAGAGGCTCACACAGAATATATAGCCCATCACTGTCATGTTTTTCAATTGTTCCATACTCTTTCCATATTATAAAGGAAACTTGTTTTATTTGACTAATATTTTCATTTATAGTTGCTCACTCATCTTTCCAGATTATTAATTCCAAGAATTAATAATCTACAATTTATGGAAAAGTGGTAAAAAAAGCATGGTGTGCAAAAACTTTTAACTGGAAATGTGCATTCACAAATTTATTTTTTATATATCTTCGGTCATATGCAGGGTTGAAGTATAGTCAAGTTGAGATGAGATTTTCACTTAGTCTTGTCATGGAATTGAAAGCATTTCTGCTTTATACTTGGTGTTGAATCTGTCTCAGACCACAGCATCTCACAAGTCATGAGACCAAGTTTTTTTTTTACCCACAGTGGAAAAAAAACTTTCTCATATCTCATACTCCACTAAAAATAACAACACACATTAATAAAATAGTCAGTAAAATAAAAATAAAATGCATCTATTATTCACCTTCATTGTATTAGCCATACAATGATTTATTTTATTTCAGAAATGACGGTTACAGAGTGGAATGCTAACTTGGAAATCCCTTCAGAACAGACAAGATGTCGTTATTCATTTTGGCTACATAAATCATGAAAGTGATTTTCTCACGTGCAAGCATATTCTGCTATAGAGGAAGCTCTGAACTGCTCAGTCCAATTGATACTGTTAAAACCGGAATGAGTGTGGTTACCATTAAGGTCTCACATGATTAGTTCCTCACAGAAGTTCATATAAGTTACGCAGGTGTAAAGTTAACGTTTGTTGCTATACCATTTTTTTGATTACTTGCTTGGTTTGCCATAACATTATGTAATCAGCGTTATATGTATCATGTTCCATTTGAAGGAAAAACATCAGTTGGCATAATCATACATACTAATAATCATTTCTCTTTGTTTTTCATCTTGATTAGTCTAAAGCATTACTGAAAATACTGTTCTGTTCTGAATTGTAACCAAAATTGAAAAATGAAATACAGTGCTCCTTTCTGAACCAATACAGGCTGCAATTTGTCTGATGTTATCCAACTGATTGCCCCCAGGAAAATTTTGTCATTGGGAACTCCCACCCCCTTGTTTTAAGAACAGGATATGTAAGCACCATAATCATAGTATGTGCTAGTTATGTTTTAAATTTCTAATAGACAGCCAATATAAAAAACCCTTTGGTTGTTACATAGAGCTTTTTACACGTCTCTCGCCATGATGAGTGGCTCACATGAACAGTTGCATTTGACTGTGTCGCAGCTCTCCCAATGGGTGGAAGAGGATTTGTTCTCTCTACCATTCTTTCCGAGCTGCTTGTCGGTACCTTTAGTGAAACATCCTGTTACTATGATGCATCTGTGTCGCCCTCCCCCTGTGCCTCAACCTCTTTCCAGGTCTGTGGGTCCACCTCCAGGGCTCTGAAGAAGAGGGAAACTGAGGGAGAAGACATTCCTTTAGAGCAGTGTTTCTCACCTCGGTCCTTGGGGAGCCCTAGATGGTCCACTTTTTTGCTACCAGGAGCTGGGAGGGAGCAAAAATGTGGACCGTCTGGGGATCCCGAAGACCGGGTTGAGAAACAGTGTTTTAAAGCATCTTCACCAAGGTCCCATCCACCTTCCTCGTACCATCTGGACTTAGACAACTCACTGCAACTGCACAGTTGTGGGTTTACATTCTGCATTTAATATTTAACCTCATTTTGGTATTTCCAGATAGTTATTTTTGGAAATGTATGAAGTGATACGGGAAGTTTATGTGGTGGAAAAACTGGTCTGTTCTTTTCTCACCAACCTCAGACTATTGTATTACTACTATGAAATGCTAAGGTATTGCTTTGTAGTTTCTCAAATGGTATTCTTGTTTTGCACAATTTGAAGTAACATCCTTGAATTGATACATCCTTGTTTATACCCCGCAGACAGGTACTCTGGGCTTTACACTGTTATTTTATTTTAGTTAATACTTGAACAATACTCCCAGAGGTATGAAACTGGCATGCTCACCACTGCACTACCATGCCACCCCGCTACAGGGAGGTGAAAAAAAGAAATTCTTTCACTTGTATTGCTTTAACTATCAGGGCAAAAATAACAATAGTCTGGTCCTCACCAGTATGAAAAATCAAGCCTCAGATAATACAACATATAATGGATTTCTCTATGTTATATTTTATTCTGTGAACCTGAACATGCGGATGGAGGGATGGATGGAAATATAAGCCAAATGAAGAAGTGCTGTGAGAAATTCACACACTCTAACCTAAGCTATTAAGAGCTGCAGAATGTGGGTGCAGAGGACACATACACATTCACAGTGTAGTAAAAACATTTACTCAAACTCTCATAAGGCTGAATAGAGAATACATATCAGCTATTCAAAACAGTACAAAAGGTCTTCCAAGAAACAGGCAAAACTGTGTGAGTGCACGATTAAGAGCGTTTGTGTGTGTGTGTGTGTGTGTGTGTGAGAGAGAGAAAGAGAAGGAGACAGAGGGAGTGTATCGAATGAGTGTGTGTAGAGGGAGTGTAGCCTACATTGCAGGAGTCTCTAACTACTGATGCCTTTAAGCACAACTAACTTTCCAGAAAATTTGGCATATAGACATTGTCAATGGGGCCTGTTGATCAACTCAGCAAAGGAAAATAAAGACTTGCTTGCCATATAAAAGCAGCTCCCTTCTCTGAGTAGGCACCATTCAGAGACTACATGCGTCATTTTGCATTTTCATCATCATCATCATGTAGACGCCTCACAGAAAGTATTTTACAGTATTTTTTAAATACAAAACACTAAATTATTCTGACAAAATATGGAGCCATTTTCATCAACCCTATAAAATACAAATTACAAATTCCTATTTTGTGTTTGAAAAAGATATTTTAAATACATGTATCATAAATACTGCCCATCCCTGTCCCAAATTACAGTGTGTCTGTTACAGTAGGTCTGTAAAGAAGACTTTTGGATTTTTTTTATGCAAATCTACATATTTTTTACAAACCATGCAATTTCAGGATCCCAACTTGGTCTGGACTGAAATGTCACTCATACCATTGTCATTTTTGGAACATCTTGTACTCATCTTGTTAGTTTTCTGAATTATTTACACTGCCACTTGAAACAAATAAGGAAAACAAGAAGTAATACAGTATTAAACTTGATCTTTATTGCATGATACGAGCAGAAGGAAAGGTCATAATTGAGGATACAGGTTTCATTATCAATCAACAAGAATTAAATTCCTATTTGCTTCTGCATACAGGGTAAGATCACAGAGCCAGTTGATACTCCCACCAAGCCGCGTTCTACCGAGCAGTAGTGGAGAGAACTGTGATTTGCAGTACGATAACGATTATAAGGAATACTATTCCAATGACGATCCCAGAAACATTCAGGACTTTGGCTGTGTGCGCCGCTTGTTCAGCCTTTGTAGCGTCTCCAGAGGCAGCTGCATCTCGTGCCTACAAGCAGACACAGCATTAGATCTGTAAAATTATCATTCTTACTTGTTATATATCATGGTGCAGGTGCAAATATTAATTCGGTACAACCCTGCATGTTTTTGTATAAATTTTTTTTAACATTCATTGGAAGTATAAAGTTTCAGTGCTGTACTCATAAAGGTCAGACCTGTGTCTGATGAATATCCAAATATCAAAGGCAAATAAAATTATTCAAAGCAAATCCTGTCCAGTCCATCAATTAAGGGTCCAAGCCACAAAGCTGATGAATCCCTATTGTTTTTATAATTGTGACTTTTCCTTTTAATTAATATCTATTAACATGATAACTAATACTGTCTTTCCAAATGTCTCTACATTTAATATATATATATTTATTAAGTGCGCTATCTGTTTTGTGGACTTACCCTTAAGGAGTAGATTATTGCAATGATTCCGAATGGCAGGCAGCAGCAGAGCGTGTTGAAAATAGAGATGCCCAGGTAATCTTTGGTGGGGGCTGTGGATCTGTTCATGGTGGCTGAAACTTCTGCAGCTTGCGCTGGTCACACCAAGTTAAGTCTTCCGCTGTTCTCTGGCTTCACCTGGAGCAGCGCTGAGTGCTTCACCATATGTATTCATTATAGGAGGATGTAGATGAAGAGGGCGTGCGCAGTCTCAGGAAACAGCTCAGAAGTTTGTTCCTCATGAATTCACAGTTATGCACACGTTACTCGGGCGTGGGGGGTGGGTGAAGGGGGATATTTGAAGAAAAAAAAAAGAAGGCTGTTGTCAGCTTGCGACCAGCAGGCAAGCAAGGAAGCAGGAGAGCGAGCCGGAAATACGGACAAACGGGGTTTAATGGAAGCAAACGGACGAACATAGCACTGCACATGACAATACAATGACGGAACTGGGGACTACTGACTCAGACGAGGACTAAATACACAAGACAAGCTAGACTTAATAAGACACAGGCGAGCACAATCAGGGTTGAACACGAGGCAATGAGGGGGGCGTGGCACACATCGGGATCGTACGGAGCAGGGTGTGACAGCTGTCACCCACTTTTATATTTAGGTTTAGTCATTGAGCAGGTTGACTTATTTGGCTTTTGGTCCATTCAGTTTAATTAACTGGGACAGGATTTTTATTTACAGTAGCAGTGTGATGGTCAGGAAACCTCCCACACACAGAGAACATTGTTCTAACATGTTGCACTCAGAGATGTTTAATGACACTGTTTTAAAGGTGAAACATTTAATGAAAAATGAATTGAAACGTTTGAAAATGAAAACCTTAATTAGTATTTAAAAGGCCTTTATCACACTTCCGATTTCCGGGAGGTGGGAATTCGGTGAAGCAGTGTATCTGTACTTCTGGTTTATTGAGAAGCAAAGAGTGAGTCCTCTCACTGGTGATATTGCACTCTAACTCAAAACAGAGGCATCCTTCCCTTAGTTATCATGATTTCTCGAGTGGCAAAGAAATGCAGAGCACCTGGGAGAAGTTAATAAGGAGAGACAATGGTCCTTCTCTTCATTCAGCACGTGGGAGCATGTTCGTATGATCCACGCCGGTATTTCTGCCAATGGACTATAATAGATTACTGTCCAAATGATATGCACCAGATAGCACAGGATACCTATAATGCATGTATGTGTTTTTGAGATTTAGGATCATTTTGGACTCTGCTAGACTTCCTGAACATTGTACACAACCCACAGTTTATGGAGCTCGTCATTCTTTCTCATTGACCAATATCAGCTACCACTTCCTCATTCAATAAATCTGGCTCTGCAGACAAAGGGGGGTTACTGACAATTTCAGCCTGCTGAAAGCTAAAAAGTTAGTCTTAGGCTGTACTCAAGTACTAACACTAGGAAATCCATACTGCATCACTTGAAGAGGTGGGCCCTGGCACACTTCAGTTGGACTCGGGCATGGTACACGTCGAGTATGATTGCTAACCATGCCCTAGCATGTTAATAATGCACACATGTACACTATACACTGAACAAGACCTGGAAGGAATGGATTGGGTAGGCTGCACAGATTGGGCAGTAACTGTCACAGCTGAGGGGCAGTGTTCACTGGAATTTTGAGTTGACGAGAGTATCCAGAAACAACTGGATGCAACACAGAAAACTCTGAGACAGTAAAATACAGGACTATCTTCTTATTCGTGCAGCATGATTCAATGAAAATTGTTGTGCTGCACACTCAATAAACCTATAACAGGGCCGTGGTGCATCATGCCCAAAATGACTCCAAATCCACAAAATTAAGACAATAATCATTAACTCCATTGTGCTGTGCATTTCTTCCTACGGCTGCATCCGAATTCAGGGGTTGTCTGTCTTTTCCTAATGAATTCAGGGGTTGTACCTTTCTAAGGCTGCATTTGAAGACTGAATGCATCATAGCAGCGTGACAAGGGCGTCCCATTTTGAAGATTCCTTCAAATGTGGTCTAGAAATGCACCCTCCCTTTGCAGAGTAGCAAAGAATCCATTGGATGTATCCTTTGCAGCCGAACATATCCCAAGATTCACTGCACAGAGGTTAAGTGGGTGTGTGTTCCATTTTGAGGGAGACATTCTACAGGCAACTTCGCATGGTGGGTATTAAAACATTTTAATATTTTAAGTACATATTTGCTCTGCAAGACATTTAGCTAACAAGAATTAGTCTGCATTTGAACATTTTAACTGATGTTTTTAAACAAGTAATACCATGCTTTAAATGTGGTGTTTTAAGGTAAGTATAAAGTAAGTTTAAGGAATAAAAGTTTAGCAGTGTTATTTTATTTTAATGAGGAACTAGTAAGCTGCATTTTAGCATCATGCATCAAATACACGTTAAAAACTTTGAAGAATAATGCCTTAGTTGGTCTGATGGAAACCCCACCCAGAGCCCCCAACTTGCTCCTTATTAAGGGCCCTGAGTGGCGTGGGGGAAATACAGATATGACAGCTTGAAAGAGCCCTGGCCTCTCTCATGATCAACGGTATAACTTACAATGCTGCGATGAAAATGCTAAGCTGGAGGTATACTAAATCATTCTACTGTATTTTAGAACTTTTGGCCTACATGTTGCTACTGTGAAAACGTGTTGCAATTATTTGACCATGAATTTTCAAGCGAATTACGGAGGCTGTAAGTCTGGAGAAGAAAGTGACTGGCATAGCGGTATAAGTTCTCTCTCATGTACGGTTTGATTAAAATTGGACAAAGACTGAATGTGTTTATATTCCCAGTTTCAGATGAGGGATCGCAAACCAAAGAAATGACAGCACAGATCTATAAACTGGTCAACGGTCAATTTACAGAACAAGTATCAATGACGGAAAACACCAAGGACAGAAGCATGAGAACATGGACATGGCAGAGTTCATGATAAAAGGGGGTTCCATTTGAAAAATAAGACGGTCAGTAAATGCTTCAAGGTTGTGTACACTAAGCGTCAGCTTCAGCCAGACTACACAACATTACCTCATGGATTCTAGTAAGGGATTCGACAATAGATTTTAACACCCCTTCTCGTGTATTGTGTCGGGACCGAACAACTCTGGCATGTCATTTCATTGAAAAACTCTTAGAAAATGCGAATTATTCATTGT